TAACAGAAGGAGTATTATTGCAGATAATAAATTCACATTTGTGAAGAAGAGAGGGGGATTTATGCACTTGTCCTCAAAGGGATGAACGTCCATTAAAGGTCTCTCAATGAACAGGAAAGCTTGGCAGGGAGAGATTGTTCACCACCAGCTTGTTCCTGTTTATGAAGTTGTTGTCTATCCTTAGCTTTCCTGTGGCAAACATTTGACTTTATTTTTATTTTTGGTAAATGATGCCATTTACAGAAGAACATGACAACAGCTCTACTGGTTCAGACCATGGTTCCCATTAGCTGACTGTCTTTAGGAGCAACCAGAAGCAAAGTCCCAAGGCACAGGGCAGGGACATCACAGCAGACATCAGTACTTTCCAAACATATTTTCCCAGCTCTTGGTAGGGAGAAGACCAATGGTTTTCTGAGTTGGAGAACCGGTGTACAGGTATTCTACAACCTGAAATACATTTTTGTGTCTGAATTTGTCTAGATAGGTTGTTGCAAGACACCTGATCCTGAAAAGCATTGCTTGATAAATATGTTTGGAGGAAGTATAGAAAATGGGGGTGCTCTTGAAAAGGAGGGGTTTGCTAAGACAAGTTGTAGCACAACAGGATGGCCAGGTCACTGTGCCACATCAGGGGTGATGTTCCCTGGAGGCAGGAATAAGCAGCTCTACTGTGACTGCTCTTTGTTAGTGATACTCGGGAAAATACAAAACCTATCAACAACACGATATGTTACCTGAGGTTGAACAAGAAAGCAATTATAGTATCAGATTGCCATTAACAGGTAGAAAAAAATATGCCCAAGCCTGCTTCTGCATCTCAACTTGTGGTCTGACGTTCAGATAAGATGAAAGCATCGTAACTTTCAGTGATTAACTGTGAAACAGTGGAATTGAGTGTTCACAAGTGAATTTGTTTTCAAAACAACCTTAAATACTTTCATCCAGGCATTTCTTTCTGAATAGCACAGCTTTCTGTGACACCATGGAGCATTTTTATGTGTAGTCTTAATTGAAGCAGTCTTATATATTGTAGTGAGTATTCATTCCTGTGATTCTGAGGGAGGCTCATAAATGTTATCACTTTCCTTTGCATCAGCTAATGATCTGGAAAACAAATATACTGCCATTGCTAGGGAACCTGATCTTGCCATACTGGATTATACTGGACAAAAGCTGTATTTCACTTTCCATTTATTTATTATTCACATTTCTCCAGCATCTGAAGTTCCTACTGTGGTGCAACAGGCATAGACCCAACATAGTCCATGTCCCAGAAATGGTAATTTACATCTAAGGTGAGAGACAACAGATGGAGCCAGAGAGACAAAGAAGTATAAGGAGATAATTAGACCAAATCCATCAATGCAACTGGCTATGGTCTTCATGTACTAACATTGTAGCAAAGGATTGTAGCAGAATAGGTTTCAAAGAGAGTCTTGTCAGATGTGTGTGCTATACTGTGCTAAAATATTACCTTAAATACTTAGAAAGATAAATTTAATCAGAGAGTCTAACTGCATAGTGAGTTTTTTTATCACTGATCAGTAGTTGTTGTTTACAATACTTAGTTCTCAGTTTTGCTAAGCTTGGTTTATCAGGCTAAAGAATGGTTTATGTGAAAGGACATGTCAAAGGAGACATCAGTCCTCTGTGCAACTAGAGCTCAATGCAGAGATGCAGCTTTCCACAGGATGAGGTATCACAGCATGGATGTAGGAACTGTCCATAGTCAACTGCAAGCTGACTATGATGAGTTGTGTAAAGTTTTCCTTCTGCAGTGATGATGTTTCACCATTTAAATGGCCAGAAACAACAAGGACACATGGCAGTATCCTTTAACTCGGGTCTTTTACATAATTGAATGCAACATTGCTCTGCAGTGAGGGATCTGGGGAATCTGAGCCTGTCCTCAGCACTAATAAGTGCTCCTTTGTCAGCCAAGAAGAGAGGAGCAATACTGACACAGGGAGTTGATGAATACTGAGATTTCACAGGCCAGTGCTCCTGTGAGCTGCCTGGAAACTTGAGCTGTGTCACCTGGAAAAGTTCTGCCACCCCTGCGTGGGGTAGCTTAGGGAGGTCTTTTTGTTACTCTAAAATGAGTAATAAAGAATGAGAAATAATCTCAGTCAGCACTCTCCTCTAATGACTCTTTGCAAGTGATCTCAGCCTGCCTCATAGACATGTGTTGAACCTGGCCAGCCTTCATTCTTGACAAAAGGCTTTTAATAATAAGTATTACCAAACCAGGAAAAGTATAGGATAATGAAATCCAGAGCCTAAGGCTGGGAAATGGCTGTTGACTTCCAAGCTGTTTTCAGATACCCAATCCTGCTAGCTCTTCTGTGAAAACAAGAGTTGCAGGGCTTTCATCTTCAGATACCATTTTGCACTTAAGGTGAGCTGGGGCCAGGTAATTTAATTCGGATAATCTTTAGAGGGCTCCAAAATGTGTTGCTCCTCTGTCAGATGTGAGAGCTTATCCAAAATAGGGCTGGTATGAGGACTCAATGACAGCTCATTGCATCAGTGGCCTGCCTTTCCTGACTCATCCTTAATGGCCAGGGTGCTGCTACAAGTATTGATACACCCCAGCAATTTCTAATTTTTGGAAATTATATTGAGCTCTGGCAGAAGCAACTTTGGAAAGTCAAGAACAGACAGACAGTGGAAGGAAAAGGATCGGTAAACACAACCTGACCCACACCTTCTCTAGTTCTTCTCTCTCCTTCTGAAAGCACCTCCCTCTGCAAGCTTTTGCAATTACCTCTCATTAGCCATTGACAATAAAGGAAGAGAAGGCATAAATTGGAAGCATGAATCATATCCTAATTTAGCCTGTCTCTTCTGCTAGTAGGAAGGCATATGCTTCTCAGACACTCATCTGCATTAAGACTAAGAAGGCAGGCATGCGAGGGAAAGCTGAACCATTCAGACTTGTACGATGAAGTGGTTTCTATTTTCCTTTAAACAAGAGAATAATAAATTGGGAAAATTTCTCCTTACAACTGTCTTCATCTTGTATGAGGTATGTGCCTAAACTAGTTCTCTGTATCCAAATGTGTAGGAGGAAAGCTTGGTTTCTGGTTAAGTGTCTGCAAGCTGGGGGTTGACTGTGTGTTTCTGATGCAGACTGTGTGTGCTTGGCAAATCTTCATGTATTAATCTGCGTTTTACAGCTGAGGAAATGAAAATGCCCTTACACAGTTCATGGAAAAGGCTGTATGAGACTATTGCAGTAAGAGGGAACTTGCTTGTGTGACCTGCAAGTTCCGTCTAGCCCTAAATTCCTGAGCTCACAGGCTCAATAAGAGCATTGATATTTTTGAGGGCTTCAGGCATTATAATCATGAAATAAGTCCACAGAACAAAAGGACTTCTTTAAACAGACAGTAAGGATCTAAGAATCAAAACAAAACTGGCTCCAAATATTCTTGAAGCAAGAGAAGTAATGTGGATTAGGATTAGATTGTTGTAATGCTTAACTGATAGTATAAAGCCAATACTTGCACAAACATGCAGATATCTTTCAAGTAGATCACATGAACACCCATGATGATGTTGTAGACAGAAACAAGGTCACCCAGGTAGGCTGTGGAATAACCCAAATTATTTCTTTTGAAAAACAAACCAGAACACATTTTCATGCTGTTGCAGTGTTTTGTATAATCTTTCTCTAGTGCTGTGCTATACTATATTCGTAGGGAAAAGCTCCTTGTTTTTTCCTTACAGGTACCACCTGCTTAAGTTATGGAACTATATTTAGTTTACAGAATGTTGCAAAATTTAAACAGGATAAACCTATGTCTCAGACAGGATCTGGTATTGGTGAAAACAAATCTCTAGCATCAAAACACAGGTTAAATATTGATGACTTCCCAAATTCCACATCATAGTAAAAAACCTTTGATACTCAGACAGCACAACAACAAGGCCACTTAGAAACAACTATGCAAAAACTCAGTGGAGATCTGTTGCATTGCAAAGACTTTAAAATGTGCAATCTAGCAGTTGTATTACTGTGTGTTAGTACACCTCAAGAGAAAGAAAAAAGCAGTACATATATTGTGCTATTTAAACTCTCTTTCTTTTCTATTACACTGCTATTAATGTATTAGTAGAAGAATCTCACATTTAAGTGCTAAAAATGAGCCTCTGGAAAAATGCACTGTGGTACAACTCACTGCATTCACAAATCCCAAAGTCTACCAAGAGGTGCAGTCAGTGGTATGTTGTAAACTGCCTGGGAAGAAGGTAACAAATGTGGAATGTCATTATCCCCTGTTTTCTGGTGAAGCTAGCTGAGGGCCCGCTGATGCCCTGTCTGACATGACAGCAGCAAAGCAGCAGTATTTGCCCATAATAAGTGAAGAAACTCAAACAAGAGCCCTGTGGTATAACTAGCAGCATCTTGTGTAAGTGTCTGCAATGCTCTCCACAGGTCAGAAAAGTCCCTCTCTTTCCAGAGTGACACAAATAACCAAACCAAGGAAACTGGGGTTTGGGACAGCACTTTTAACTCTCTGCACCTTCTCCTACACTGAAAATATACAGAAGTGGAAGTAAGTCAGGAAGTACTGTTTCTGAGTATTGAAAGTCCAGCCCTGTCCTGGCGTTCTCCAGTTGTGTCACCACTGGCCACAGAAACAGCTGATGTTAAGGAAGTGATGCTGTGGTATCTTCTCCACAGGGTTTTTCTCTTTGCTTTGAAACTTCCCTTGGGCTAAATCTGTCTTTGGGTCAGACTTTCCTGGAGTCCCAAAGGTTCCTGGAGGCTCAAAAAGGAAATAAGAACAGGAACAAGCCTTTCCCATTTCACAGCTGACAGAAGAGCTGTTTGATAATGGCAGGGTAATAACAGGCAGAACAATTCAGATTAGAAGTCCACAAATCCACTTGACTAACACAGCTCAGGCCAGCAGCTCCAGATAATGAAAGTTATTATACAAAGCACAGCCCTTATTTTGGAAGTTAATACTTGTGTTTATCTCCTTTAGGTTCTTTCTGTGAAAACTATAAATGCTCCGTCCTTCCCAAAGCCTTCTCAGGCCTGCTGCACAGAGTGTATAATATGCTGATACTGGAGATTTTGCTCAGTTTTATACTCAGAAGGCTGTAATCTGCTAATGCCTATCGCTTCTGGAGGTGAGACCATGCAGTGAGCTCAGAGGTGAGATATCAGCAAAGGCTTTCTGGCTGTTTGGGTCATTAAGTGCTGGCTCTGATAGCCCAGGATGATTTTAGGAAAGGGTTTGAGAACTTTTGTGTGGAGTCGTTTTGGTACAGCTCCTTCTGCCATGGGCCAGCCTGCTGGAATAGATGAGCTCGGAAGAGGCACCTCATCCTTTCCATCATTCACCTTTTCTTCCATGCCTTGGTCATGTTGGCTTAGTGTTTTCTGCTTCCCATCTATGCCAGTTTTTAGAAACAAGTATTTGGTCCCAAGGTGTCTTTGGTGTCCCCCCACTGCCGCCTGAGTGGTCCCGCAGCCCATGGCACGTGGCTCATCCTGCCTTGGAGAAGAACCTGTCCTCTTCACAGCTCAGAGGAAATGCTGTAAGCTGAGGGGGTGAAACAAATCACGTGTTTCTTTCTATTTAAAAATTGACCAAGAATTGCCATGCTATCTTATTAGCAGATAAAAGCTGATATTATTACCTGCCATGTGAAAAGAGGAGGAGGATTGGAACATGATCCCCTGGGAAGCACAATAAGTGAGCCTGCATTATGAGAGCTGTTAGGTGGATCCAACAGACTAGGTTTATTTCCTCTTTTACAAATTTCAGTGGATAACTAAATGAAACCCCCTAGTGAGATCCCTGCTGAACGACACTGTTTTCTGATCTTTCAGAGTTACTGATTTCAGCCTTAAGTTGTATTGAAGCTTCCTTTAAAACAGAGATTGCTGCATCTGGAAGCACTACAGAAATGTGCCTCAGGCAGGTGCTATCTCTTCCAGTCCTCAGCAGCTGCCAAACCTCGCTGCAGCTCCCTCACCTGAAGTGTGAAAGGGCAAAATCTGTCTGGCTGGAGAACATCCATCCCACAGAAAGGGAGTTTAATGCTCACCAGTGCCATCCAACTACTCAGAAGTTCCCACTTTTGGACATGTTGTATTCCTGTCATTGTCCAGGACAAGTGTGGCAGACACCTTGATTTCTCTAGGCTGTGCATCCCATCCAGGAGATACTGGTAAGTTAGCAGGGTTTGTTTTTCACCTTCCCCCATTAGATTAGCTTCAGCTGGTTGGGAAGTTGGCCTGGGAATGGAGTGAGCGTGGGAATCCACAGCAGCCACCCACCCTTGACTTGAGACACAGCTGCAGGGGTAAGGAAGGCAGAAGCTTCCTATGGACATCCTGCCGTAGCAGAGATGTGGACACTTGTGTATCACCCACATAAGTGAAGTTTTCCTTTCCCAGTCCGTTCCTACCCACATTCATGTCAAAGAAGGGGACAAACCCCAAATATCCACAGCAAAATAGGCACGGATGAAATTACTATAAGAATAGTAATTTTTAAAAGGTAATGACTTATCCACTGGTGCTGGGGACAGCACAAGTTCTGAGGGAAAGATGTTCTTTTTCTCTCCATAAGTGCCTGAGGGGTATTCATTTGCTGAAAAGCATTTTCTCCTGTATGCTTGAGATGGTTTGAAATGCTTCCAGGAACACAGCCAATTCCCACCTTCAGCTCCCCCCCTGCCTTGTCCTTTCCCAGTGGGCTGTCCTTCCAGTGAGGAAATGCAAAGGGAGGGTAAGCTGCTCCTGCTGCCTCTGAAGGTCACAGGCACAAGGGGCTCATGCTGGCTCCTTGGGACAGTGTCTCAGCACAGATTCCAGCAGCATCTCCTGCTCGCTGCACCTGTTGGCAAGGTATGCATATGGCTGTCAGCACTTCTGGAGGAGAATGTTAATGTTTGCATGTTTTAGCAGTCTGATCAAGCATCCAACACTCATCTGGTGGGAGAAGAAATGAGAGAAGAGAGCAAAAATTGAGGCAGAGACCTCCTAGCAGTGAATCTTGCCTTTGATGTTTGGGACAGAGTATGGCTTGTGTTAACGTATCTTTGCAGCTGTGCTGGCATGGGTGGACTTTAAACCAGCCATACAGGGAACGCAGTCAGCTCATACACCCCTGGGGCAGCAGCTCTGTTTGTGTTTTGTAGGGGTATGCACATGGTGATGCAGAACCCACAGGTACTATGAGTCTCTATAGCAGCTTTTACAAACAGAGGCCATTTAAAGCAGCCTGGAGGTTGCTCTACTCTGTACCAGTGGCAGATTTTGCCTTTGGCCCATGCCAGGATCAGGAGGAGTGGAAAAAATGCCTCTGCCTATCATTGCCTTGCTACGATAGCTACACCGAACAGCTCTTTACTCTGTTAAATCTGATTTCCTCAGTGCTATTTATGGTATAAAAGCAAAGGGTCTCTGGAGTAAGACTGATTGCAAAACCAGTGTAAAAGCAAAGAAAATTAGGTCTGTTCTACTGTTAGCCAGCATGTAATTTTTAGCTGCAGTGAGCATATTGCCACAAACCTTGTCAGGAAACAAACTGTGTGGTGATCAGAAGTACCTGGGGAGAATGCGCTTACTGATGTGTGAAATGCCTCGGCCGTCACTCAAGCGATCCTCGCAGCTCCAAGGACAAATAAGCAGCATCTGTGTTAATGCTCTTTGCAGCATTCAGTGCTGGTGGCTGCATTTTGGGAGCCCAGTGGTGGAGTGAGCCCTCACTGCTCTCCAATCGGCTACACGTCCATCTCGTGCCCTCCAGAAGGTTTCAGCATGGTTGTTCTTCCCCCTTCACCGAGTGCTGTCTCAGAGCAAGTAAATCTCATGCTGTGAGGAACACAGTTGTAGTCACCGTAAGCCAAGACTAGATGTTTCATGCTGTAATCAGAACTGGCAACTTCCAGTGAGCTTCTTTACTACTTAAAAGCAGAATTGAATGTATAGTACCAAGGCTGAGATCATGAAGGAGCAATTTCTCTTGCATAGACCGATCTGGGGTACTTACATGACCTGCTCTTTAAGCTGTAATTTAATAACAGGAGGATAGACAGCTAAGTATGCAACTAACCTTGAGGGAATTCTTAGGATCTCCCCGAAACCCCCCCAGCACACATTAAAAAGTCCCATTGCTCATGGATTTCTGGATGTACAGTTCTGGCACTTGAAGTTTTCCCTGTACAGATTGCAGATGTTGTTCATTGTCTGCAGTCTTTATTCATCTCTCTCTACTTCTTTCTGCTCATCTATAATCAACTTCTTGAGCTATAAATGAGCTACTCAACAACCCACAGCCTTATGTTTGTAGCATAACCCATTAATCCTGGGCATGCTTTATAGGAGGTTTCTATTTCTAGAATAGTGGAGAGGGGGTTAAATAGATTTTGAACAGACACAAACACCTTGTGTCAAAGGTGCTCATAATCACATCACTCATTGTGCTATTGGGAGCAATCAGATATGGTCATAAGCAACATATTGACCTATCGGACTCTATAACAGCCCATAACATTTGATTATCCATTTCTTGAAATAACTATTAATTGTTCATTAGCCCTTTATAAAGTATTTTATACTAATCTTTCATATGAAGCATGACTGAAATGTTAAAGCCTAGTATTTGACCTTTAAATTCAACCAATCAAAAAATCAGTAAAAAACATGATTTTGCTTCTTTTCAGCTGAAAGAGTTGAACATCAGCACCGGTCCCAGATTCATTTGGATGCAGAGATCTTTCTCTGCCTGAACACTGTGTGTCTTGCCAAGCTGTTCTCCTGCATCCCCTCTCCTGTTAGAGGAGAGACCATGGCATTATCAGAGTGAAATAAATTGAATCTCTCTATTTCACATCCCAGCCTCAGGATGGGTCAAGTCACTCTGACTCTGGAGATGGACAACCTGGAGAAACTCCAAAGAGCTGGGGTGAAGTGGGAGCATCACCTCTGGTCCTCGCACTGAAAGTCTGCTCTCATTCAGCAAAGTACTTCAGGATATTATTAAACTGATGGGCTGGATGGAGGTGTAGCATTTAGCTAGGGCAGGGGAGGCACAACACACCATGAAGGCAACATTTCTTAAGGGAGCCGTGTGCTTTACAAGGTCATCTAAGCCCACAGAGCAGCTGAGGATGTTTAGATGTCCACACGTGGGGCGAGGAGCTTAGATACCAGTTCAGTATGCTCATCTTTATCACATCAGGCAGTCAAAGGAACCTTGGAAGTTTCAGCAGGACATTTAACTCCAAGGCACGTTTGTTGAAAGGTCTTTTATCTTTGCCTGCAGTAACTTTCTCTCTCTGGCTCTTAGGACTAATAACACAAAGCTAGCTAACACTCATGAAAATCCTTTGCACAGCTTCCAAGCTGGGCACTGCACTCCTGGCACTTTTACACTCCAGTCATCCTCCTTCATCATCTCCATGTCCTACATCATCAGGCAGCAATGTGTCACAAGATTACTCATCACAAATTAAACCTCATGAAAAGCTGTTCTGAGCTGGGAACCTACAAGAAATACATTTTGGCAAATGATATGAGAAGCAGAGGAGAACAACAGATGTTTCCAACAGACAAACGTTTCCAGTTTGGCCATAAGTCCGTATTCTGGACCAGTCTCTAGATAACATCCTTCAGCACTGTGCCAAGGGGAACAATGGCTCTTTTGATTCCAATGCTGCCCTGGTATCTGCAAACTCTGGGAGAGCCAACTCCAATTCCTTCCAACCTCATCTTCATCCAAAGATACCCAAGAATTTCTTTATTCTCCGTGGCTATAATCCAACACCTGCATTTCAGCCACTGGAGGCAAAAATCCAAAATGTTCGCAAGGGGAATGGAGCAGTGAGAAGCCAAAAGACAATCTGCCATGATATAAGGTGGGTAATTCCCTATCACCGCCTGAGCAAACACACAGACGCTGTGGCAGTGAGCCTGACAGATGGTTAGAGCAGAGCAATGGGTTTTTATTCACTGAGGCATAGCTGCCTTAGATTTCTGTTTGAAACAAAGATGTATCCTGGTTAGCAGTTCTCTGCTTGTTTGCTCAGACACAAACATCTTGTGTCTGGCTTGACCCAGGTCAAGTGGATGGATGTTCACATGGGGTGCACTGAAACCAGGCAGGGTCCCCACCAGCTCTTCCTCTACATCCAGGATGTTGGTCCATGTGTCCACCCTGAGTGACTCGCTGTTTCCAGACCACCATCCCTTTTGGTGTTGGCACTGTGAGCCTAGAGCTCAGGCCAAAGGCAGCTCAGGTGCCAAGTCCTCAGCTGTGGTGCCTGGACATGGCACCCCTTTCTGATTGCAGCCTGTCATAGGCAGTAATGGATCTTATGTTCCATTTGGGGATGCCTTTGCTGTCCTTGGATTCTGTCCTGTGAGGGGATGCCACAGCTTCTTTGTCCAGGGTAAGAGAGTGCCTGCCACCAGCACTAGGGATGGGGAAGAGGGGAGAATTTCTCCCCATTTCTGGGTAAATCTCCAAGGTCTAACCTTGCTGGGGACCGGGCTCACTGTGAAGCAGGCAGCCCTTTCCCAGAGATGGGCTGGCCTGCAGCATCGCTCTGAGCTGCACTCTGCAGGCAGAAGACTTTAAATGCTTTCCTTTCATTCATTTGCTCTTTTGTTTCCTCAAGCTACCAGTGCAGACATCCTGCCTCCGATGTCACCTTTCAAGTGATTTCCCTCGCCATTCGAAAACACAAGTTTATCCCTCCTGGAGAGGTGAACCAGGGATATGTTTAATAGGAAAAGAGAGAGGTGAGGTAATCAAACACCTGCTCCCACTGAAGCAAAGCCTTTCCTCTTCACAGGCTACTGAGTGCTGATGAGCAAAGAGGAAGACACACACCAACCCTAACCCTGTGAGAGGTCCAGCCTTTAGAGTGGACACAAATCTTGAGTTGTAAAAGCAGAAACATGAACTGCACTTTGTGCTCGGGTCCCAGCTGCTCTGCCCAGGTTAGACAATGAACATTACAAGTTGAAAACTACAGCACTACAGGCACTTTCACTGCTGCCTGTTCTAATCATCAGGCAGGAAAGCACAAGTGTTAAGTGGATAAATTTAAGATTAATTGCCTGTGTTATTCTAGCAGGAGAGCCCCTGATGCTGATCCATGCAGGCACTGCTCGCCGTGACCAAAACCTGGCTGCCACCTGGTTGTATTGGCAGGTAAGCATGATCCTCCTTGTAACACCATTGCTCCTAAACGACCTCCCAGGACTATGTCTCTCTGAGTGCACATGAGATGTACCAAAACCCATTAGGGCATCTGTAGGGATGGATGCAGGGGTAGTGACCATCCTGCCACCCTCCTCCTACCAGAACATTCTCTTTTTCTCTTGCTGCCCATGCAGCAAGTATCCTTGGCTCCCTGGCACTGCAATAGCTTCCAAACAAGCCCAGGGGATGGGCATTTCTTGCTATCTTAAAGTACTCATGCAGGCTTTCAGACCTTCACATGCAGCTACTCTGAGGCTCCAGGTGACTTGGATGTACTTGGAGAATGATGCTTTACAGTACTGAGGGGGGAAAAAAAAGCCAGAGAATAAAAACAAGCCCAAAAGCCAGGAGGATTTCTATACCTTGACTTCACCACATTTGATGTAGCAGTGACTCTCTGAAAGCAGCTAAACAGTGCTAGTTGACCCTAATGCTTCATCAGATGCCCTTTTCCTGCCTGGTGAAAGACAGCAGTGCCCCCACAAATGTCAGTGTGAATATCCTCAGTCAGATCGCTGCTTGCCCACAGATTTGAGATGGTTTTCACTGCCTTTAATGGCTGATATACAATAACTTCATAGGGAGCTGCACATGATGCCCATCACCAGGCAATCAGGCATCTCATCTTTCTCTTCTGACACACAGCTCTCCATGGGGGATGGACATTTTCTCTGGCTGGGACCAGAAGCCCCCTGGTCCTTCAGCTGTTGCCTTCATCCAGTCTGCAGCTTGAAAGAAGGACTTTCTGCACATCAAATGCTGGCTAGGACCGACTGCCAGGGAAGTGAGCATATAAATCATGTGGAGAACAGTGACATCAGCCCCGGAGAGCTCTTTCCCAGATCAGATGCCTAAAAAACCCCATCTGATGTTGACTGCTCTGAAAGGCTGGAGGCACAGAGGTATGTGTTTCAGACAAGCAGTCCCCAAAGCAATCTGTATGTCTCTATAGACTGCACTAGTGCTTGAATTTTAACCAGAAGGAAATAAGTTGCCAAAATATGGCAGGGCTCAGAGATTTTATACACATATAACTCATCTACATGGTGAGCATTGTGCACCACCTATTATACTGCTGTCCACAGCCATATTTCATTATAGGTTTGCCATTTCTCAGTGTATAAAACTAGGATATGCTGGCATGGTTTAAATGGTGCTAAGAGTGCTGTGAAGAAGCACAGTGATAGTTGAGAGGGAAAAGAAGAAACAGACTTCTCCTGAGTAAAGAGCAATATCAAGCAAACACTGAACTGACAACCTCTGCTGCTGAAACCGAAATGCCCCGGCAAAAAACCATCAATCACTGCATGCATATATATACGTGTGCATATATATGTATATATATGTACACACATACTGCAACCAGCAGCCTTGTAGAGGACAGCACGTCAGAAATGCACTCAAGCATGTAATGCACTCAGCTGTATAGGGTACTGCAGTTATATACTGCAGGATAATCCTACTATTTTACCCATCTGAGGAAACTTAGGCTTGGTTTTGGAGAGCATTTTTCCATGGCTTTCCA